AAAGTGCTGTACTTAAAAATCGAAGCATCTTCCATCAAATGATAAAAACGTTTATCAACAGAAAATAAAAAAAAAATGTTAAATTTGAAAAAATATTGAATCTTTTTGTTGTTTATTATATTATGTATTATTTATTTTTGTGTAGAAATAAGGGTATATTTTTTTTTTATTCTTTCCGGTTGATTATTACTGTTTTACTCAAAAAAATATGTGTCTTTTAGAAGGGGTGGGATGGCAAAAGTCTTAATATGACCCTGGACATCGTCGAAATGTGCCTCCAATTATTATTTTATTTTTTTTTCAAAAGGCCCGTTCCTTAATTCTGCAAGTTTTAAAAACCCTCGTATCCTCGGCCTTTATAATGTTATGTTATTATTAATCGACGTGAGTACCTATTATTTATTGTTGTATAATCCAACGGCAACAACGAAATAAACTTTGATCTGGTAAAAACAAAATTTACATTTTACCGACATCATATTATATTGTATTATTAACACTGCAGAAAATGAGGCCACTGCGTCAATATTAATAATTCTTTAGGTAATTATACCTAAACAAGTATTATACGAAACCTCCCCCCGGCCTTGAATTTCACAATAGATTATTACATTTTTTTTTTTTTTTTTTTTTTATTGTGTCTACCAATCGTTTTTGTAGGCAGCGCGTGTAAATTATCGACTAATTAATACATCATTTTTACCAGTGTTAGTATAAACTGTAATAATGCCTATATTGTAATTTATTGTACCGTTTTAATTGATACTTTGTTCGTACTGATTAGAATATTTTAATTTTTTTTTTTTTTTATAAATATATTTTTAGATAAATATTATAGGTAGTAATATATATTATATATAATACCGGCTGTACGTATCCTAGTCGAAAACCATTAGGCTTTGTACGTAGCAAACGCGAGCGGTGATTCAGACGACAACGATTTTTTTTTTTCAGGCCAAGTACACTTTCTAAATATTATGACGTTTACCCCGACCTATATAAAGGTATATAATTCACAAAACGAGAATATTATTCGTCGAACGGCTCTAATGTATACAGATCCTGCGAGATACGATGTATTGTATTATATTAGCGGAAATTAGAAAGTATACCTATCTATGCAGGTACAACTTTTTTTTTCTCTTCTAGGAGTATAACGCACCATATGTATATTGTTGTTCACTAGCGGAACTGTTTTTTTTTTAATATATTTATATATATGTATACATTATGCATGTATATTAGTCTACAATAATGTCTTCGGTCTCAAGGAAAAAAAGAGCTTAAGTCCGTTTTTTTTCTCGTGAAATTTGTTTTCATAATTCAATCATTTCCGTAATTTTTTCCGTTCTGTTGTAATTTTTCAACTTTTAAATTTGTTTATGAAATTGACTCCGGCTCGTTGTTCCTTGAACCCAAAGATAAACTAAAACACGTAATTTGTATTGTACTCATAACGGAGGTCTGCGCGGTCAGTGTTTTCATTGACCGGACGGACTAGTGAAGCGAAATTAAGATCATGACCCGTGAACTAAACGACAGTGGATCGCGTTTAAATATAATATAAATTTAAGACGTGATCGGACCGGCACTTATTTTTATTTTTTAAATAACATGAAAACCCAATTTTTTTAAAAAATTCAAAATAGAAATTTTATAAAATACATTTTTAGACAATTATTAGTGGTTGAAACGTTTGTTAAAATATGGTCTTTTATTTTCTACGATTTTTAAAAGTTTTTGCAAATGTAAATATTATCTATTATAATGGTTATTCTATTACAATACGTAATCAATTATTAGTCAGGGTACACGACAAGGATTTTCTTTTACATGAGTTAGTATATCATGCAATAATATTATTATATTATAGGTAATGGGTATTGGAAATGAAAATTATTCAAATTTTCAAAAAATAGTAGAAAATAAAAGACCATACTTTAACAAAAGTTTCAACCACCAAAACATTTCGAAAAATCTATTTTACAAAACAGCTATTTTGAATTTATTTAAAAAATATATAGTTAAATTTTTTATTTTAGTCCCCCTCTCTTAAAAAAAAAAAATTATTCATACCTAAACTGTAGCGCAGAGGCATACTAATTATTTTAATATATATATATATATAAAATACTAAATAGAACAAAAGTTATTTCAAGTAGAAGAACAACGTTTGACACCTTGTATAGGGTGCACTACCATGTAGGTCAGGGGTAGCAAATTATTTTGACGCTATATGTGCCAAAAATTAACTTTTTTTTTGTTTTTCATGCGTGCTATTAAATTATGAAAAATATACATGTACTGAGTGATTAATTCGACATGATCACCTAATTTTTAGGGTTTAGTACGATATTTTTGTATGCTAAATTTTCAATATAAGAATCTATATTTAAAATTCCATAAATAAATTGAATATTAGATAAAATCAATTTTGGTATTGACATTTTTGATTTCCGTCAAATCATTCATGAGATATTCCACTTTTAAGTTTAGATAGGGGGAGAGTAATGGAGTGCAATATAATTTGTGTAGCGGCACCGTGTTTAAATAGTGCACCACTACTCTCTCCCTACCTAAACTTACAAGTGGAATATCTCATGAATGATTTGACGGAAAAGTATGTCAAAAATGTCAATACAAAAATTGATTTTATATCTTATATTCCGTCTATTTATAGTATTTTTAATGCAGGTTTTCATTTTAAAAACCAAAGTTAGTATCGTTAACAGGATACTCCTTAAATGTTATGAAAAATCTATGTATACGAAAATATCGTTTTTAACTACATTTAAAAATTCCAAAAATCAGAATTTCTATGTGTACATAAATTTCCCCTAAAAGTGAGATGAACATGCTTAATTAATTACCCTATACCGGTGGCACCGAAGTCTTAAAAAGACGTCAGGATAATGGGGACGGGTGCACTGTTATAGATAATTTGATGTACACCGGTAAGCAACTATAAACCATTGCTTACGAAAAAACGATTCTAAACGGAGTTCAGTTGATATTGATGCTTTGTTAACAATATATATATGTCATTTTATAGTGAAATAATTAAACAGGCTTTATATATTTTCTTTCATAATATTTGTTGTAACGATTTTTCCAATTTTCCTACGTTTTTCTTGGTTTTCCCATGTTTTATTCCGGTTTTTCACATTTTCTGGTATTTGCCTCTCTTAAGTACTTCATTAGTGAAGTTTCCTTTTAAAAATATAATTCAATATAATTTGGAGCAGAATTGTTGGTAGAAAAGGTGTGCTCGGAGAAAAAGAAGGCCGTAATATAATTTAACTAATACCTACATTTCTTATATTTTCCCGTTTTTTTTTTCAGTTTGAGAACTCTTTAGAAAAACGAGTTCCTTAATAAGTACCTTATCACACCGATTTTCTTTCAGAAAAGATGCTACACATAGAAATCCGAGCAAGTCTTCTGGTAAAAAAGTTCTTAACAGATAAAAAAATAAATAAAAATCTTTGTAAAACCATAAACTTCTTTGCTCTATTCAGTATCTAAAATGTAGTTGGGTGGTATACATTTCAAAAGGCCCAAGCAACTAAACAGAGCCTATTTATGTCCAAAATTATGATTAGGGTAGGTTTTTTTTCTATAATAAAGTATTCATTTGGTTTAACAACCAAACTTTGATCCAAAATGAAGCGGCCCGAAACTTTCAAACTTTAGTACACATTTATATTATTCTGGCATGGCAATTATACAATAATGACTAATAAAAATGAAAAATCTATTAAAGTTTACAATATGTTTTGTTTTTGTTCGGAACATCCAATTTGTGAATTTAAAACAATTCTCCTCCCAAAAATATACAATTTTATCATAACGAAAATTACAGGGTTTTTTTCAATTATTAAACAAATATCTACTTTTGACAAAAGAAATCATGGTTAATTATCTATACAGATTTTCACAATTTTTTGATGGTGCAAAAAATATAAGTTTATAAAACTATATTTTTTAATGTGGAGGTGCAAGTGTTGCATTTGCACAGGTCAATTTACGTTACTGAGTATTTGGGTGGCAGTAAAATGCTCTCATTCACTCCTTGTCCTCTCCCTGGAATTCGCCACTGTTTTAAAATGTATTCCATGTGTTCGTAAAGATAACCTGGAAAATTCTTTATAAAAAATCATCGTTTGCACATCTACAGCGTTTTCTTAAATATATGCGCATTGACAATTAATATTATTAGCGATGAATAATTTTTAAAAAAATTTCATCTTCAATTCGTGTGCGTATGCACGACACCATAGATATGCATACATCTGAATAATAACTTATTATTAGTAAACAAAACGAAAAAAAAATAAGTAAATTTATGTACACAGGGCGATTTTCTCGGAGGATTTCAAGTAAATGATTGGTCTTTGGTTCATTATGGAATTATTTAAACTTTATTTTATCATTATCTTCAAATCATTACTTTTTTATTTTATACTTAAAGTTCCCGGGAGGGGGGCGGTCATTTCAAGTATACAAATAAAAAGATCCATTTTCAACACAAATTCAAAAATATTTCTTTGCTGTTCAAAAATCTAAAACATTTACAACATAAACGTTATATGAGTTAAATTATGCAAATATTTTAAATACGAGATTATAATAACGATTAAACTATTCTACCTATAGGTATTACCAAAATCGATTTCATTCAAAATCAGTTGTGCTTAGAGGAATATTTTTACTAGAGCACACATATGCAGTTGCATAATTGCAGGAAACCCGTTATCTGCGATGACGCCGGATCGTAAAAAAAAAAAAAATCACCCTATATAAATATAATATTTAATATAATATATATTATTTATTTTATTGTTTCTACCTAATTATAAGTATAGAAAATTACTAATTATCTAAAATAATTATAATTATCTGTCCATTATGCCAAATTGTGTGCGAAATTGTGTATACGAAAATATCTGTTTAAATCGTACCACGTGTCTCACATAATAATTATCATATAAATACTGAGGATCGGTGCACCTTTTAAGCAAGTCAGAACTATACAGTGGTTTTCGTTGGGTAACTGTGTCTTTCATCATAGTGTTTCATAAGTACTCACCTAAACTTAACTAACAACTTAACTTACATTAAATAAAATAATGAGACGCTCCAAGAAGAATAAAATCGTTATTTTTCTGTGCCTAATGCTGTTGGCGTTGTTCCACGCGAATCAAGCCTATCCGTCGTCCGCCGACAACGATCCGAGTAAATATCAGCAGCCGACCGAAGGCCATAATTCCAATGATGATGATGGTTGGGAACAGGGTGGTGTTCTAAAAACGCCGGAACCCATTTTCAGCTGTTTTGCGACCTGTAAAATGCAATGTCTCGTCTGGCAACATATGGGCAAATGGCGATGTGACCAATATTGGTCGATTCTATACACTTGTATGTGTCATAAGGAGCACGAAAAACACTAAAGATCCACAAGTACCTATATCTCAACAATTATTTATGTCTCCACAACAGTCTATGTCCCCACAATAATATCGCCATCATTATCATTATATTATTATTGGTAAGTTTTCGTTGTAATTTTAATATTAACATTTTTTTTTAATCGTTTTAGATTAGTCAAATGATTAATGGACCTCTTTCATTCGTCTTCGTCCATCACAACTACTTCCATTTCCTTGTTAGTGTGTTTCTTCCTGTATCTCCTATGATTTGTTTCATAAATGGAATCGTTGATCTACCTCTTCCTGTTTTCCTTCGATCTTCCCTTCCGTAATTTTTTGTTGTCATCCCTTCAGTATTTCTCATTATATGTCTGATCCATTATTTCTCTTTCTCTAATTGTATTTAATAGTGTTTTCCGCTCATTTATTCTTGAGTATAAATAATAAAGAACAATATTTCACCTTTGTAACACACCATTGGTTATATACACATAGGCACAAATAGTGTTTGACATATAGGAGGCTGATAATTTTTTTTTTTTATTTCTAAGCTCTTCTTTACACTTATGATATAATATTCCAATGTATTTTATGTAGTGAAATCATTAATTTTTTTCGGGGGACTATAGCAATTCTAGGAGGGTTAAGCCCCCATTTATTTGCGCCTATACATATATATACACATGATTATATATATATATATATATATATATATATTATACATAATACATATATGTATATAATCAATGATAATACTCAACTACCAATACATATTTTATAGTACAATGTTAACAACGAAAAAGAAAACAGTTACAAAATATACACATAATATTGTGATGTATTTTAAATGTTTTAAACTTTGGAAACAATGTTTTTTTTCTCCTCCTAAACATAAAGGCGTGTTTAGAACAGCTTAAAACTCATTTTAGTCTACAGATATTATAAAATTATAACATTTTAATTTGTCTCATAATCGATTTTACTATTCTAAATAAATACTATTTTAGTTAGTGATTTTACTTTTTCCAAAAAATTGTTGTATTATTATTATTTCAATGCGTGTTCTTATTTTAATAAATATAATAGATGTGTTTATTTTTCATTTCTATAGAAATAACGCTATCCATGGTTTGGGTAGTGTACGCGTATTTTTTTTAGCACAATCTACCTTATCTACCTTATCTGTTTAACGGACTTTTTATACACCTACATTAATTGGTGACATAATGGGCCTTTTACATTTGTTGACTCAGGAACCATGCCAATATCTGCCTCCCTTACTCTAGGCTTGATATAAAATTGTTTAAATAATTAAAAAAAAAAAAAAACAGTTGTTTATACAAATTTCTAAATAAGTACCTACATAATATATTCCGTGCTTGTATTATTTTTAATTTTTAATATAAATGTATTGGTTTTTTAAAACACTGTTTGTATACTGTAGTATAATATTATATATTTATTATTTGTTAACGCTGAGATGATGCCGCAGCTATTGAATGTACTTATTATAATTTATTAATTTACCGTTGTTATTTTCTTTTTTTTTTCCTTTAAGTATAGGCTGCATATAATGTGGCATACAGTGGCATGCAGTGACTTGCATGTACCTAATAGCCAACAGATATACAGAAACTGCGATGTGCTCGTCAACATATTAATAATATATTGAGCAATAATATATACGACATGTAATTATATATGTTTTATGTGATCTTAAATTACATCGATTTTTACTATAGCTAATAAATAATTAAATATAATTGAGAAAAATAATTATTTTGTATTTCTATATTATAATACATTCAGTGGTCAAAGTGGAAGGGAGATGTTTCACATTTTATAATTTACTTTTTTCATCCCTCCACTTATTTTGTCCAAATTAATACATCCCCAATTGTGTACAAATATTATCGATTTATATTAGTGTTTTTCATAAAAACAATATTTTTTCGATGTTTTTTTTTAATTCGTTTCACAATAATACAATGATATTAAGAAGAAGAAATACATATTTTTATCGTTTTAAATCAGGCTACATAACGCCAAGAATTGTTATGTTTTATTATATTGTTTTGATTTAAATTGAGTAACTACTAAACTAATAGTGCAATTAAATCACATTTGTAATTTAATACTGTATCAATAGTTTATTATGAGGAGCAATCACTCCTAGGCGCTAAAAGGGTGCGTGGATGGTCGGCAAATGGTTAATTTAATAATTTAAAATTTACATTTAATACCTAGTTGAAATAAAATGAGTATTATTTTTAGATTTTCACTATTTATTTGTGTTTTTTATTTCTCCTTTATTATGGTCCTAATGTCCTGTGTTTTAAATATCTTACAGTTTTGAGACATTATCAAGGAAATTACATAAATATTTTAAGATACAAAATGTATAAACTTATATTAAATTGGTGGATTATGGTGGGTGAGTGTAGTAATAAGTCTGCTCCTTGTGTACTACATCCTCGAGCCGCCACTGCCTGGTTATATATGAATAATAAATATGTTTTCTGGTAAAAGTGCAATCTTTTTATTTTGGTTAGTAGCATTACGTGTTATAGTATAACAATTTTTTCCCGTATTTATTTTAACCGACTTCGATAACTGAATAATATACTATATGTATTTTAGTTTTTGGTTATTGCATTGGCTTGACTCAGTTTTAGCGAACAAACTATTTTGTTCATATTGTTTATTGTAATTTTTTGATAATTGAGTGAACGTTACAACAGCCAAATTGACAGAATCGGCAAACAATTAAAAACTACGTTTACTGTCTTCGGGTCGGTTGAGTACTGTCTATCCTGTTTTCAAATTGTATTAGTATTGGTAAATACGTAAATCGTATTGGTAAAATACGAATACTGTACAGTAAATAAAAAGTTTTGACGATATTGTAACCGTAGTAGTAAACAATGCAGCGAAATATTTATCGAAAACTACATCCCTAAAACATGTCTATTCAGTATTAACAATTTTTCAACGATTTAACATTGACGTTTTTACTATTTATAAATTAAATATATGTGAATATTTTTTTTACTTACAAAATACTTACCCACTTTTAATATATTTAAATATCATAAAAACAAAAAAAAGTCCTAGGATAATGGGGATGAATGCACTGTTGTAGATAATTTATTGTATACCTGTAAGTAACAATAAACCATTGCTTACGAAAAAACGATTCTAAACGGAGTTCAGTTGATAGTAAAGATTTGCCAACAATATATATGTTATTTTATAGTAAAATAATTAAATAGGCTTTATATTTTCTTTAATAATATTTGTTTGTTTGCATACACACTATGCATGTTTCATGTTTCGTGTTTTCACGTTTTCGTTTAATTTCGTGAATAGTGTGTGTATAGCTTTTTCACGAACAAATTTTTCATGAAAACTGTTTCGCAATGTTTTTTGCGAACGCGGTAAATGTGACGAAATCAAAGGACACGAAAAAATAATTTCGTATTGTTTCGTATTGTTTCACGTTTCATATGTAAACAGGAAGTTCATATCACTGGATTATAAATAAAATTAGATATTTGCAGGTAAATGGATATTATAAATTATCATCGTGTGGAATCACGTCATTTCGTTACAAATTTAGTTCTTCAATTAGTTGTCATCATGGCGTCCAAGTGAAATAATGAACTAGTGCTTACATTTATTTACGAGTTTAAAAGTACCGATGTTTTTGTTTCTCTATTTTTAAATAAAGTTGTAGTCCACCATATTTGTGGTTTTGGTATTTTTTTTTTTTTTAGTTTAGTTATTCTAAAAACCCATACTCTAAAATCAACTAATTTGATTGATCGGTCATATGTAGATATCGAAAGGTATATATTATAATATATAGGGGTCACCCAAGACAGCTATATAGTAGTGATGTAATAACTTGTCGAAATATTCCAAGGATCATGAATAGAAGATAATTGGAGACAGTAAAGGCCTACATGAACGTAGAAGCTGGTAGAGGAATTTATTATGCATGCGATTTTTCTGAGGAAACGGTCAATTATTTTTAGACAAAGAAAATGATAATGCCAGAAGAAAAATTTTATCAAGTAGATATTATAGGTATCTTTTTTTCGGCAGTTATTGACTTTCACAAAATACAAATTTAAATGGCTTAATATTATTCCTCATTTTATCATATATTATATCGGTAGGATTTTGTCGAAATGCGCAGTAAAATAATATTATGTTGTTGTAATATAACAACAATGAGAGTTGTTTATTCTATAAGCTATATTATTAATATTCGTCAAACTAAAATCGTGTACGCATATTATATTATGTATTTATTTTAATTAGTTAATTAAGCAGAAACATTCCACAGACTGCGTATATTATGTTATATACATATAGGTAATAATTAAAATAGAAGTCTGCCAAAAAACATCGCTCGCTATATCTGATGCAGTAAAGAACGTAAATAACATATTATTATAACTTAAAAAAATATCGCATCTATATGTCTAAATATTTTTAGTTTTTATTATATTTTCTACACGTAATTTAATTTCTCATCATACAAAGAGTTCTGTAGTTTATATGACGCGTGGATTAATTAATTTGTATATGGTTTTACTATTGTATTCAAAAAAAAAAAAAATAATTTTTAGAGCGCATACTATAATATAATAATATTATGTGGACATTATACAATATTATATATTCCTACATATAAGTGTAACGAAGAAGATAATTAGTTTTATAAAGATAAAGTTTTTTTTTTTCGGGAAACACTTTTATAGTCAGTACAAATTATTTCTACGTTTCATACCTTAAAATATGCGGGTCTTTTTAGTGGCTTGTAAACATTTAAAACATTTTTGAAATTCAAAATACTTTTTCAAACAAATTAAATTTTTTTTTGTTTAAAAAAAAAACTTTGTTTTGGCCAATCAGCGGCGTATTTACTGATGTGGGGTAACTGCATCGACCCAACCTCTTCTTCAAAATTACTTTTTTTTTTTACTATTTGCATATTAGATTTTTTTTTTATCAATGACACAAACAAATTGATAACTGATAAGTTTTATCTATAATCGTATTTTTACCTCTCGAAAACTTTTGAAATGTTTGCTAGAAAATTGTTTCAATATTCAAGTATTTATTGAGGGCTGCCCCCAATCCTAAAATGTCGGGTATGTCACTGGGTGCAGATGCTGTTTGTTGGTTGACTATCACGCCATCGTTATGCATGTGACTTATCAGCCAAATATTATGACCGAATGGCTGTCCGATCGCAATTACGGTCGTATTCTGATATCGTGGAATGAAATTTTCTATTTTTTTTTTTTTTTTTTTGTTGTGATTCGGTAAGAATTGAAAATAATTGTAGTGAACTGACATTTTCACCAAATAATTATATATTAGAACTTTCTGGGCGTGGTGCAATGGATACAATTGTTTTAGCCCACCAAAAATCCTCGAAAATTTAATACAAGGTTCATCGTATGCTGTATTGCCTGGTAGAAAAAAAATTGAACTGTACTTATATATTTTTTAAAGCGTTTAAAGTTCAAACTTTTATGAACCAAACGTTGCTCAAAATTGTTGTTCGTTCTCTATCGTTAACAATAATTTATCGTTGGTATCACATATAAATTAAATAACTCTATAATACTATAGTCAATAGCAGTCAATATTCATCTATAATAATAATAATAATAACAATAATGGCACACCCAACGCCAATATTAGCTTTTTTGAAAAATAAAAATAAATCAAATCATCAGTATACATTTTAAAAAGTCAATAATTTTGACTTTTGAGGGAATTGTTTACTTACATGATTCTACTGCAAGAAGTACAATTTTGTTTCTCTTTGTCATTATTTTTTAATACATTCAGCTAAACATTCATTGGGATCGTCTCGTCGCATTAAGTGGTCGTGAATGACTATAATTACTATTATTAATGTACGACCAATTCCGAGGCGGTTCAAAATATAAATAATAAGACGAATGACATCAACATCGGTTCGTTTCATACTTTGATGTATAAATATTTTACTATATAATATAATGTGTGACCTTCAAATGTTTATTTTCAGTATATATTCTGAGACCATCAGTTTCTTTGCCACCTTCACAAAAATTCGCGTGCATAATAAATTTTATTATAGATTTTAAAACGAATCGAGGAATTTATTTCAGATTTCAGCAAAGGAGCTATTTATTTTACGATAAATGTTTTTTTTTCTCAAAAAAAAAACTGACAATAAATGTCGATATATGATATGTATATAGATTTATTCGATTTTAACTTTGTTGATTTCTGGCTTACCTTTTGGCTTCAAAGGAAAAAAACACGGTTAATTAACATACCTACTACTTCACTCAAATTTTTTTTTTTAACGCGTGTTGATTTCAGTGTGTAAATTTAACTATACGAGGGTATAGGTACTCTATTGTATCCAGATTTACCTTTTAAATTGCTTACTTACTTGGCTTTAGGGTTATGGGGTCCCCAAGGCCCACATCAGAAAGAGACCTAAATTAAAGTAAATTTTGATTTATAACAAAATGTATACTAGATTTTGTAGATATTTAAATTTTCAAACGAATTCACTACTAAATAGTGAAAGTACTTATTTCGTGATGGGAGTCACTCATAAATTGCATTTTATGGAAGCCTCTCTCGGCCCGGACCCTTTGCTCTCCTCCTAAATTCGGTCCTGCTAGGTACAAAGTGTTACTTATGGTACGTCGGCTAATTTATATTTTAATACATCTATATTAATTATATTATTATAAAATATACTAAGTACGACATTTATTTATTATTTCATACAGCAATTATATAGGGGAGTTTACCAATTACTTTTTTTTTTTTTTTATGAAATAATATATCTAATATAATAATCTAATACGTATAATATTAATAAATACATTTTTTTTTTTACATTCAATAAATTATTTTTATTCATAAATTATTTATAATTAAAGTTAAAATGTACATCATTATTTGAAATTATTGAAAATAAAAATAACAACTGGTTTTAATAATTCTTTGCAAGTAATTACTCCAGATTTGTATTTTTCGATAAGTGATTCGATTTCAAATTGTTTTATTAAATTCGCTTGATCCGAAATATATTTGTCCTGTTTGGTACTGTTTATTGCAATGTATACGTGTTGGTCTCTTTACATAGGTATTATAATTCAATGTTGATAGAATAAG